CATGACCACCAGAGTCGTAAACTGTTGTCAATTTTAGTCGATGTTTCATCGATCTCGATGACATCATCATCGTTGTTGAACGAGCGAAAATGTCGTTGTCCGGAAGCTGTTGCTATCACTGGCAAGGTTGGATGTAAACTGAAATTACAAAAAATCATAAAGATAAATTGCATTAATAATATTACTTTCAAATGTTCATACCCATTTGATATTTGTTTACTATCTTCACTATGTTCACATGTTATTACATTATACTTGTACATTGTGATCTTTGTCATTCAATATAAAGTATATGTTCTGTTCTGTACAGAGATACATCATACATGCCATGACGTCCCAGGCAATTTTTAGTGGTCAAATACCATGAAAATTACCGCTAAATAGGAGGTGAGGAAATATACAAGATTCAGGGATTGTTTCAGGTAAACGGCATGGCTACTTGTCCTTACTTAACATAGCTTTATTATATTCTGTGACTTATTGAATTTATGCTGTCTTAATACTTAGAAAAATTAGAAAAACTGTTAATAATTATTGACATTTTGTCTTGTTTATGTTGTCATAACATTTGCAAGTTGTAATTACTGGTAATATAGGATGTATGCCACTATGTAAATTTTAGAAACAATATTGCTGCTGATCAATGCCTCACCTCCTGATACATGTAGGATTGTAACTAACTGACAATCCAAGTGAAGAAAACTATACTTGAGATTAATTTCTTTCCTTTGGGTTGATTTTATGTATGGCAAATAATATTCTTGCATTAAAACTGCATACATGCAAACATTAATGAGGAATGAAACATGCATTAATGGATAGATTATCATGACAATGTGCCGTTTTTGCACTTTTTTTTTAATATGCAAGACTCGGGGAACAACAAAATTATAGAAGTTGTTTTATCGGGGTAAAAATAAAAATGAAAATGAAACCATTTAAATAATCTAAAAATATGCTTTAACTGGACAAAAGCTGGATTAATAGAATACATGGTGTTGTTGGCATGTAGAAGTTTCGCTGCGAAAGTGTATCTCTGCTTGCTAAAGCTCGCCAAGATACATTTTGTAGCTCACCGATTTAAACCTTCTCCATCCCAGCATCAACCATGTACTCTCTACATTTTGAAACAAAAAGGGACATGCAGCTACTACTAACAAGCTGAATACATTCTTGACTTTGGTTTAATTTCCTAGAATAATATATAAAATTATAAATTTACCGCACATAAATCATTCAACATACCTGATTCCATTAACTGTATCACTGTGCCCCTCAAATGCCATTACCGGCTGTATAACCGGGTCAGAATGAACGTTAAGCTGTACAGGGGCACTTGTAGTATCCCAGATAAGAACAGTACCATCGTGAGATCCAGACAACAAATATTTACTGTCACTGTAAAATAAACCATTTACAACATATAACATAGTATTTCAGTTCATTATTTCAGGCTCAATAGGGCACCAACCTTCCATTACCTAGGTTAATAGTTTACTCACATGAATTAAATCCAAAATCCATAATGGGATGAAAACACAGCGCCAATATGCGAAAGATTTGAAGTTTGAGACCTTAGCCATACCCCCTCAGAACCCCCCTCTGAAGATGTGACTAGATAGTAAGAGATATAAATTTGCATACAAAATATTTTACAAAACTAACTTTGAATACTAGCATGAGTAGAATATCCCAGGTCAAAATTTGTATCACATTGACTTTGTTAAACACTAACAACAAACATTTTACCTACCTGGTAATATCAAAGAAAATTCTTTGATTAGTAATAACAGTTCTAAGTACAGAGAATAATAATTGTCCTGGATTTCTCATATCCCGGCATATAATCCTATTGTCCTGAAAAAGAGAGATAAATATAATACATATACACATTTAAGTTTTCAGATAAGAAAAATACAGTCCTACCTGTAAGTTGTCAGAATTTTCAAATTTCAAATTTTTGTTTTTGGTTGGGTTTTTTTATGCCTCAGCAAAACAAGTTGTCAGATAAAAATACAGTCATTTCCAAAGAATAAAATACATATATCATATTTGTTTTTCCACATTTCATACACTATTGCTTAAATTGTTACATCACAAATGTGTATTAAAGTGATATTAAAATGCCCTTAATTATAAAGAATCTAATACCTTCCTTTTTTTTAGATTTTCTTTCAAACATTTCACAAATAGAAAAAAATATTGTTCTGTTCTGGTAGATATAATCTTGAGCTAAAAATATCACAAGTCTACAATTCTTATTTCATTTTCTTTCCTAATTTTTCAATATCCTTTTTTTGAGTGTGAAAATAACTAAACTTTTTGCTGTGCCACAATTTACCTTTCTTCCACCACTGTAGAGTTTTGTACCATCTGGAGAGAACTTGACCTCCGTGACCCCACCATGTTGACCTTCAAACATACACACCATGGACCCTGCTGGCTCACTGTATAGGGCAACTATGGTCAACAGAAAAAAGAAGAAATGTGTAAAATTACCAACTTTCAAAAAATAATCTCTTGTTCAGAGTTTCTCCATGTTACTTTACTTTTTTAGCATTTCTTGACCACCACAGTCCCAATACTACTTCAAGTAAAAATTTGACACATTTTGAGCCAGTGGCAAACTAGTTAAGTTTACTTTAACTTATTTTATCTAAGCTTGTTTGTCAAAGTTCTTGCAACTAATTACTTTCAAGTACTGTACTTTTCCCGGAACTAACCAGTACTCGCGTCATATTAGAAAACATGGTTGTGACTCTTGTAAGGCCTGAACTCGGGATCCCTGGATTAAGAGGCATACACCTTACCTACAAGGCCACTGCTTTCAAAGCCACAGGTAGGTTACTAAGATGCAGTAAATTAACCAAATATCTAAGATATTCATCATTTAATGATGGTGCTTGATGTTGATCTTTATCAACAACTTATGTGAAAAATTACAAATCATTCACTCACTCCATTTCTTCAGGTAAATCATCATTTTTGTGGTGCAAAAGTACATAAAAATAAATACAATTAAATAAAATCAGGCTCAAAATCACAGAAATTGATTCTAAATTTAATTCTGAGGGAATTTCTTTATTATATATTTCAAATCTGTCTGTTTTCAATGCCTAACTGATTTGATCTACATTTTGTTTGTTTGTTTTGTTTTGGGTTTTACGTCACATCGACACAGTATAGGTCATATCGCGACGTTCCAGCTTTACTGGTGGAGGAAGACCTCAAGTGCCCTTCCGTGCATTATTTCAGGCACGAACGGGAACCTGAGTAGAACCACCGACGTTCCGTAAGCTAGCTGGATAGCTTCCTCACATGAAAGAATCCAAGGTCCCTGTTGGGACTCGAACCCACAGCGGTGAGGCGCAAGTGGTTTGAAGTCAACGACCTTAACCACTCGGCCACGGACGCCCCATTTGATCTACATTGTATGACTAAGGTTATCAAATTTTATGAGTCTATATCTTAGAATGTTAGATCTCAGTGGAGCATCATTCATACAGAATGACTTACTACTTCTAGAGTACGATCCTGCAGCATACAGGCCTTGCTCTGTTGGACTGTTGTCAATACATGATATAATACCCCTCTGTCCTTCCTTAGCTGAAACAATATACTTAATATATGAATAACTTTATTAATATATAACTATATTTCAGATCTAAATTGACTTTGACATTTTAAGCCACTTAAACATTAAAATAATGATAGTTTTTTTTATTATGTAGTATTTTTTTTTATCGTTCAGTATTATGTCACATTAACACTATAAAGGTTATATGGTGACTTTCCAGCTTTTCAGGTGGAGGAAGATCTCTGGTGACCCACCATGCATTATTTCAGGCACAAACGGATGCCTGAGTAGAACCATCAGCCTTCTGTAAGCTAGTTACATAGCTATTTAGGCAACAGCAAGTGCCAGACTAAAACCAACTTCCTTCAATATGTCTTTATACATTGTACAAATTTTACTGTGCAGACGATATTGAATCCAGCTTTTAGTAATAACTTCTTTTCAATCCATTATAACATTTTGTACTTTAATATATGTACATATAGTACACACCTAATGCTTTTTGTGTCAATATTACACAATTTTATCCAATTTTATCCTATAACAAAATTACTAGTATAAACTTTTGCCCATGTTACAGAAAAGCAGCATATTTGCACAACAAATAGATTATATGCTAAAAAATGCTAATAATTTTATGCTAAAATGGAAAATTGATAATAATAACCCTACCAAATGTTGGTCTACTTTCAAAATATCTCCCTGGTCTGGTAACATCAAACACTCGGATCATCTTGTTGAAACCACAGTATATCGTGTTACCATCAGAACTAAACTTGACACAATGAGCTGCTACCACTTCATCCTAATTCATAGGCAAAATGTTAATACAAAAAACATCATTTATTACTGGCATAACTCAAACATACATGTACAACAGTGAAAGTAACTGATTTCAAGTCAACAAACTTACCCACTAAGTCCCAGAGGCCCATTTTTTTGTACATAATTATAAGACAACTACAAATCTATATACATGTACATGTAGTTTTAAACAAGGTCAAGACCAATTTAGATAATTATAATCATAGGCCCTTTAACTGGTATAAGCTTTAAAATCTTATAATAATATTCTCCCCTTATGACTTTAAGGGTTGAAGCATCAGAATTGCAGCCACGGTTTAACACGGCGCATGCGTGATCGTGACAGGAAACTAAATGGGTTCAAATAATTGGAGTCTATGCATGCCCTGAGTTCCAGCAGGTGAGATGGTTTTGACACCTGGTGTTGATTGAAGTTTTTAAACCCAAGGTTAGACAAGATCATCTTTCCTGCTTTGATGTCATATATTACATATTTTTATGTTTTAGGCTTTTAAACCTTAGTGGAGTCCCTTTAATGGACGGCAGTGGTAAATGCATGCTGCTGTTCATTCTCAATCCTTCGAATACAACTATATTGTGTCATTTAGAATAAAATACAACCCACAGATTTGTACTCATACAAAAGTACTAGTAAACAAAATATGAATAGGTAACGAAGTGTGTATAATTATAAACATGGCAGCGATGTAATTAGTTCAACATGTTGTTAGCATTAAGCACATTATATGTGGAAGATTGATACGTTCCCATCTGAAAATAAACAGAACGATGACCCTTTTTGCATCCGACTGAGAAGAGTTATTTTAAGGAAAGGATGAAAATGAAATTAACGGGCAACTTATGTTTCGACAATATCTTAAAAGTATTATTTTGTGCGAAGGAATAATATTTTATACAGAGTTTAATCGTGATGACAGTTTATTGCTAAGAACGAAACCGACAGCTCTAATAAAACAACTTATCTGTCTTATTCCTGTTTGGACGTGTTGTTCTTTTGCATGTTTATTTCCCATTAGAATATAGTTTAGTTCACTCGTGCGCACCACTTAATTATGTTGTGCGCACCACTTAGTACCTCGTGCACACGACATGGTATCTCGTGAGCACCACTTAATTATATTGTTCACACCACTTAATTATCTCGTGCGCACGATTTAGTAACTCACGCACACGAGATTGATAAAAACAGACACATGTCACCTCTGTGCCACCGTACTTATGTTATAGCATAACCTCACTAGTGACGGATGTTTACTTCGAAAAGATTATTCTGCAACGCATCTTACCAGACGTACCTCGAATTTTATACAGAAGAATAAGACCTCCTGCTTGGAATTTAAATGACCTTCACTCTGCACAGACATTGTTCAAAATGAACATTTCTTGGATTTGCTTTGTCGTCGAATTAGGGCTCGCTCTTCAAAAAATTCAACAGCATTGCGGTGTTGCGTATACAACTTTTGGTTAATACATACTTTTTTGAATTTACTAGTGTCATTTTTTGACCTTGAAATTATTTTTAAACAAAATGATTTTGTTTGTTTTTGTTAATGTTTTTGTTGCGTTTTTTTTTTGTTGGTTTGTTTTCTTTCCATTTACATGTAATTCTATTATATGATGATTATGACATTAGTTTTTATTGGTTAACAATATCTTTTTGATCCTATTCAACGCTAAAACCATCAAAAACGACTGTTTTATTTATATTTATAAGTGGTACACATGTAACACATTCATACCCAATATAAAACCATACATAAATGGGTTTTCTCTTTATTAATATCAGTATCAGTGGGCCTTTAAAATAGACAATATTCGCAATGACGTTAACGGTCCTACAAAAACTGTCACAACATATGTATTGTATTTTTATCGGACCGCAAAAATTTAGTGGTTTGTTACCTGGATGAAGATTTTATACTTTTACACGGTGACTGCCAAAAGTTCAATTTACATGTTGTTTTCTTGTTGTTGTTTTCGTCCTCATTGAACTTAACCACCTTAACCAGTTTGATTTAGTTAAGTGTGGTATCAAATAAGAAATAGTACACAATACCTTATAGTATAACAGTTCCCAGTCAGCGCAAAACATTAAATGGACCGCTGAATTTGGCTTCGGTCAATTAAATGTTAACGGAACGGGCTTACTGATCTGTCACTATAATGCTATATGAGGCCACTATCTCTTAATAAGTTTATATGGATTGGCGTTCGCGGCTGTTTATTTTAAACCACTGTCCTCTCACCGCTGTGGGTTCGTATCCCATCAGTGACACTGTCTTCCGAACTTACGGAATAATATGTTGTTCTACTCAGGTGCCTGTTCGTGTCCGAAAGGATGTACGATGGGCTTCATTAGTAAAGCTAGAAAGTCGCCATATGACATTCACAGTGTTGATGCGACTATAAAGAAAAAATCGCTTCAATTACATACATGCTTGGCACACTCTTACATATCTGTTTAAACCAATATATCTCTAACGGCCAAGATATGAGCTGATAAATAAAATTTAGTAAGACGTTTTCTTAAACGGTCGTCCTTTATATTGTACATGACCATTTATTTATCTGATAAATAAAATTTAGTAAGACGTTTTCTTAAACGGTCGTCCTTTATATTGTACATGACCATTTATTTATCTGATAAATAAAATTTAGTAAGACGTTTTCTTAAACGGTCGTCCTTTATATTGTACATGACCATTTATTTATCTGATAAATAAAATTTAGTAAGACGTTTTCTTAAACGGTCGTCCTTTATATTGTACATGACCATTTATTTATCTCTTAGTCTTGGGCACTTAAAATATTCAATTATTCATTAAGTTTCAAAAAACATAAACAAATAAATAACTAAAGCCTAACTTTTAAAGATTTTTTTTAATATTCTCAGCCTAGCATGTTCCCTTTAAATTATTAAAGATATTTTACCATAATCATAACATAAAACCTACAAGTTTATATTTATTTGTATTTGATATATATTGTTTTAACATTTCAATGAGCTAGCTAATGTTATCATTAATAAAGGTGACATCCCTGACTCTCTTTATAGCACTACCATACGAGGGTTGGTCCAGATATTAGGAGACACATTACTTCACATGACAATGAAATATAAAATACTGCTATAGCTTACTTTGTTACATCCTTATACCACTAAGGGATTAAAAAAAATATATGGATGCACGGCATGCAACTTTGAATAAATGTACATTGTACAATTTACATCACAATTCACATACCAAAATACAAAATATTGAGAAAGCTTTTGTTTCCGCTTAAATGTCACGTTCCGTTAAGCGTATAGTTAAACGGACGTTGCATCATTTGTTATTTATAAACGTCATTTTTTTCTGAATTAGACTATTGTCGAATCCTTTAAAAAGAGTTTGTTTTTATTTAACTGATTTTATAAAATGATTCAAAAAGACGTATTTTCCCTGAGTTTCTAAAATTAGAAAAAATAAGGGGAGGGGTGTCGATTACACGTTACAATGGCAATGTAAATACTTGTTACGTTAATTTGCTATTTTGTAGCAGCTGTTCATCGAAAGAAAGGACAAAGATATCGCCTTGTAACTATATATACAACGATTTTTTTACAATCTAACACTGATTTTAGAAAATACATGAAAAGTCTACGAGTAGCTTTAACAACCATCGTATTTGTTGCTATTTATCTTACGCCTAATATTCTCTTGCAGAAGTGCAAAATTAAAAACACTATACTTAAATGTTAAAGGTAACCTTTACTTCCGAACCATACAGTAGAATTGAGAACTATATACGTCAATCAAAAATGTCAATGTTATTTATTCATATATATCCAAATAACTCTTTTCAAAAAGGGAACACAATTGATAAGCCGCTTCTAATAACTTAAATAGAATTTGATTTAATTTACTGCCTAGTTTTCTGAAATATTTTTTTCGAAATATTTGAATAAATTTCAAGCACAATTTGACACGGTCATGGAAATTGTACAGAAAAGCAAAAATAAAACAAAATCTGTCATAAGTATGCCGCTTCAAGCCACAACCTTTGTAGCATTTTTATCATTTTTTATTCTTTTTCCCAGCCAACAGAACGGTTCTTGTGAAGTCGAATTTGTATCTCGTTTGATAAAGAGCAGACGAGATAACGGAAAAAATAACGCACGAAGTTATGACAAAGTTGGGATTATAATATTTATATTTGATTCCTTGCAAAATGATTTACATTTGCCACACATAACTTTATGATACCTGTGTATGATACAAGCTACAAAATCTACCATTTGTTTTTTATAAAGCTAACAGGCCGCCTCTTTTCAACGCATAGACTAATACAGTTCATATGTCTTTGCTGCTAGATTTGTAGTTTGAAAGTCGCATAAAATGCATGCTTTTTTCTGCAAAACAAAGACAAGACTAATACATTATTCTAATCTAACATATGAAAATAATATTTATTACAAAAAACATTTATAATACATTGATAGGCGCAAGGTGTATAAAACAATATAGGATAATAGAATCACCCTGGTGGTTATGTATGAAAGAAGTGTCGTAACTTTTGGAACACCCTTAATCATAAGTCAAGTGAAGGAAAATGCTTTTACCTTCGTGATAGTAAACGTGAATATGGGAAGAACATTCTGAAGAGAATCTGAGCACGCGAACATATCGTTCTGAACGGCGGTGCTTATCAGTTCTTACATAGGTAACGCTAATTGTTTCTTGATCTACATACAGATATGAAATATTAAAGACGCGTTCGTTAGAAATCTCTGGAATAAGTGGTTTTAAAGAAAGTGATGAGGATTTTAATAAAACATAGCATGTATGTTGCACATATTTTTTTTTTATCTTTTTATCTCTTTAAGTAACTGTTACGAAAAAAAACAACGTTAAAGCGCTTTGTTTTTATCAGATAATTAACATTTGTTTTAAGTGCATATAATTTTGCTTATTGGACTTTATTACACATATTTCTGATTGTATTGTACAATGTTTGCTTAAACCATGATAAAATTATACATGTATATCTTTGTAATGGATTAAATTTCTTGTTATATTTACATGGCCATCATGTGTGAATATATCAAACTTTTATGTAAACATTAATCAATATGTTTTTAAAAATAAATTAAAAGAAATGTTTATAGCGAAATAGCGTAACGATTCATATGGAAATACAAATTGTAGAAATTAATTATGCTATCACTTTTTCAGTGTTATCACATACTATGTTCACATTCAAGTTCGCATGTTTTCAGTGTCATAAAATCATTTTTAAATTAATAAAAAACGATTTGCATAAAGATTGACCACCTAGTTTTTCGGCAACTTTTTGTTTCATAATGACAAATGATATAAAGAATCTTACATTAGTTTTTCGTTTCATATAGCCTTACAATAGCATGTAAACACGTCCGAAAACTGGTCTAAAGCTTGGCACATTGTTGATAATATTTTAAAACTTAATTAGACTAAACTAAATGAAATGCCTTTATAAAAACGGTAACTAATATATGTCTAATCCTATATTTATAGTCGTTTTTGGGCTAAACTACAGTGACATCATATTGACGATAAACAAGTAAACAAAAAGTACCTTTAAACTAAATACAAACAGGTACTCCCACGCATTTACAGTCATTATGATACTTTCCCCCACATGATGCATAGCATGTAAAAAAATACATTTCATAAAGAAGAATTCTATTTTCATTTTTGCATTTTACATTAAATTCTGTTTGAGTTTAATTTCAAAAAAAAATTATTAATGGTTACACTAGACATGTTCATTCCACATAACACAAATGAATTTGTCTATTCAAAAAGTTTGCAATATTTTGAAATCTTAAAGTTTTTATTATCTTAAAGGATATGCATATGTAGCGCAAAACAGAACTTGAGAATAAAAAATCTTATCATTTGAGAAAAAAATAATACATTCAATGTAATCTTTAAAAGTCAAGAAATCACACAAAATGTATAAGTGTACATGCGCTTTCATTCTATCAGTTGCCATAATCTATTTATCAACATTTGTTGTGTCGCTCAAGTCTGTTTAATATGAAATGTAAGTTTGCCAATTGCGCTGTTTTGTTCGTTCTCCGACTACAACTTGGGTAGTTAAAAAGATATAAAACATGCAAAACAGAATTGACTAGTAAATCAAGCAAGTTTTAAAGACTAACTAAATGTTATAATTATACGCTTATTGTCTCAGGAATATTTTAAGCAACACATCAACATAACTTGACAAAAACTTAAAATGAAGAAATTTTCTAAATGTTGTTCACAAATTAAATTAGCCTGAAAATTGTTCAAAATAGTCGTTTGCCCCTCAACTAAGTTTTAATTGAAAACAAAGACGAATTAGCCAAGCGTTATTGGATTGTGATTAAATTTAGACTCTTAAACATATTTATGGGTAACAAAATTTAAGGTATGTTTTTTCTCTATTGTTGCTGTTGTTGTTTTTGTCGTTGTTGTTGTTGTTGATGATGATGATGATGTTGTTGTTGTTGAAGATGATGATGATGATAATGATGGTGATGATTAACATGCTGCTGGCTTGTGTCTCTCAAAATATTCAACCATTATGATAACATCTGTGTCTACATCTCTTTAAAATTTGAAAGTAATACATTCTAAATCAGAGCCACGTACTAAGTGGATGATGTAATTTATGTCTGCATACTTTGTCTTGTAAGATAGGTTGTAAATAATGTTCTACCTTCGAATGTAACAGATGCAGCAAGATAAGATGGTTCTGAAATATCCATGTTTTAAAAAAAACAAACATTGATTTATTGACAAAATTTAAGCTCAACACAAGATGAATATTTATTATTGTACTTTTATATCTCTTCTGATTGCAGGATTTCAGGATTAAAATGTATACACTGCTTATCACTGGCGGCAACTGATCACCGTCTTTAAAATGCAATTATATTTGTAACAATGCATATTATATAAGTGCAAGAGTATTCGGAGCAATGTACTTTTATATACTATAAGGATCATATCAAACATTAATTGAGTTCAAAGATGTTCATTTCGATGTCAAAGAGGTGTTATTATCATTAATTTTCCCGACCTGATAGCCAGACAAAACATAGTTTCCGGATATATATATAAAATTCAGAATGGATTATAACCTTTGCAAGAAAAGGGATAATTGCAATATCAGACATTGCTAGTGCGAATCAGTGTCAATGCTTTACACATGTTGGATTGCAACAATATGCCTGGCAAACACGCCAATCTAACCTCTATCTAAAATGTAACAGTAAGTTTGTATATGAAGCCCACTTACCTATTTTATTGGCCATTAACAGACACCGAAATGTAATTATTATATAAGATGATTTCGTATTTATTAAGGTTTAGTATGAATAAATACAGGTATATTACTGCATATACACACCATTCATAAATTCCTTGAAAATGAACGATATTAATCGGGTATATGAATTGTTTGTATGTAGCATTTTAAATGAAAATGATGATATAAAAGGTATATAATTTGATGATAAAACGAAGCATATATTTGATAATTGTTAACTTTTAAAATAGTCAAGAGAAAAAAAATAAGCTAAAAACACAAAGGGTAGAACAAAATAGGGAAAATCAACAGAATCCTTTTAGAATGTACAAAACCGCGGCAAAATTAAAAATGTTGCATGCGCGATTTGATTGAGCATGGTAATGGACGGTAAGGGTATATGCAAGTTACCTCTATGTCTCTCTAGCTACGGCTCAAGCAGAATTCAACATTTCCACATGAAAATGATGGGTCTCTTAAAATGAACGCCCCACCAGATTGTGTTCATAAAAATCAGTTGCGGCCAGCACTGGAAAAACAAAGACATGAAGATTGCGCTTACGTTTGAAATTAGCACAAAGTACGTTTGTCTAGGTGGACTTTGCAGTAAAACAGTTATCACAATTACATAAATCTTCAAATTCTTTAACAGATGATAAGTAAAATGATGGAGTTTTTTTTGTTATACCACCGCTTTTTGAAGCTGAAAACATAGTTGTATGATTTGTCTTTCTGTTTAATATATAGTTTAATTGAACTCGAACTTTTGTGCACAATTACAACCTCGGATTTTTTTGGCGATAAAATATGACATAATCTGTGTTTTTAATCATGGCGGTTTGTTTTATTTAGAATAAAATATTTACGAAATGTTGACTTTAATGAGAAAAAAATCGCGGCTCAAAAGGAGAATTGTCTAGCGTCTATCTAACTTAGTCGTTGACAGCGCATAGTGTTTATCTTGACAGACTCAACATTAACACGGATGGTTATTTACAAGTTGAATAAACGCATGCAAACAAAACTGTCAGGAATTTCCAAATTCAAAACAAAGATTTATCTTTGGTCGAAACAGTATTGCAAAGACTACCCCCCCCCCCTCCCACCTAAAAAAATGCAAGTTTCTTGATGTTTTTAATTCACTTTTGAATACATTACTACATATTTGACTTTGTGTCATATAAAATGTATTTTATGTATTTTGCTTTAGTAATATTTGGGTTTCTTTTGTAATTTCCATAAAATGAAACTGACCATCTTTTAAAACAAAACCATTTATTCTACGGGAAATTTCAAATCAAATACTGACTGAATGACGAACAGTGCAGACCATTATTAGACGGCGCGAATATGCAAGCTGTTCTAAGTCTAGTCGCATAAGTATATGCAGTTGCCGCCGGCAGGAAAAGGGTTCGATCTTACGACCTCGATGAGTTTATATTCTTTTTACTTATTATTTTGTTAAATCTAAAAAATGTTAATTAAAGCATTACAATTTTGTTAATGAAATTTAGAGGAGGTTGGGCAGAGCACGTAGTTCACATTTACAAAAATAATTAGATTTATTTGAACACGTTTATATTATTAGACAAACTTTCAGAGATATTAGTTATGCAGTAGTTTTTACCTTAGAAAGCGTGTACATATTTATTTTGTCATTTATTTTCCTAATCACGTAATGTTTGAAAATTCTCATCACATGTTATGTTGGTGTTTTTTTGTTGACTTTGAAAATTGAGTACCGCTCGAGCCGGTGCTAGGGGGCATGAGGGATGTTGCGCTTTTTTTATTATCCCTCATGTACAGCCTCAATCAAATCGAGTCTGAAATTTTCATGTAATTATGCTGTTTTTAATGCTTTGGATGAATCACTTTTTTCCAAATATTAATATTATAAGTGCATAAAATTAATTTGGAAAACGTATTTTTAGGAAATAAGTTGTATTTGCCATTGAAATTAATATAATATGAAATGTTGTTTTTTTTTTCATCTTCAATTTGGGAAAATATGAATTAATTTTGAAAAGTATTCTTAGGAAATAAGTTATATTTGCCGTTGAACATTTCTGAAATGTTGTTTTTTTTCTCTGTAATTTGGGAACAGGTTTTCATTTTTCTTTATATCAGTCTTAGATGCAGTGATTTTGATGCGATATTTCTCCGTAGACTATGATTACTCTGCCAGTTACCGAATGCAGTGTTCAATGTACAAAAACTATCTTCACGCTATCTGATGTACAGGCACATTTTGTTAATGCTATTTTGAAGTTATGTCTACGTAAATGCATTTTGCAGATAGTTGTACTCTCTCCACATAGTTTAGTTTTACATACTTTAGCGTCTGAAATATATTAAATTATAACCTAACATTAGGAAAACTGATTCTTGCATTCTACATCAGTTTCTCATTCATATAATGTATAAATTTGTTTAGATCTAAAAATATATAGTGAATATAAACTATTTCAATAAATAACCTTTTGCATTTTTATCCTTGCACATTT